ATGACAAAACAACCACGGAATCGAAGAGTAAAAACGATTAAACTTAACAAGTGGCTAAACTGATTAGATGAGCACAGTTGATTAGTCAGTCAAGAATATTGACAGTTTTGGCTGCAGAATAAAATGTAAGCACGTATCTATTAAGGTCTTGCGTTTATTTAGCTCAATTTTTTCGTACTGTTTTACCTATTTTACGTAATTAACAGGAACATTACCACAAACATGTGGTCTGCAATAATCCGCTATCCACACTCTTGATACATGAACGTTATATTCATTTTTAATACTGAATACATAAGTTTCTTACCCGTAAACACACGGTGAGTAAGACGAGGCGAATACATGTGAAAATGGGTAAGTTTGGAAAGAACGAACAATCTCCGACTGAGGTGAGTGGTGTGAGTGAGCTCCGCCTGCCAAATTAACCGCTTTCTTAGATTTTGTCTCTAATAATACACAATGGGAAAGTTGGATGTAACATCGAACAGATTCTCTATGAACATGTACTATCAATAAAAAAATAAACCCTCGGATATCGACAATTTCCAAAAGCCAACCAGATTACCAATCCATTCTGGAAGTCAAACACGTGGAACCGAACAATTATCAAATGTATTTATGTATTTCCTTTTTGTACCTTATTATTTTATGCAGGCAGTGGAGCACTACTTTAGGTTTGATTGGTTTTCATCAATGCCTTTGAAGTAAATTCTTCTTTATTTTTTACTTGCGGGCAGCTCAAGAGGCAGTTGAGTAAACACCTGATAGTCAGACAAAGCATGGAAAAATCGTACATCACCAACATGATGTTGGATAGCCCGTTCTCGGCACTTCCTCAGATATTCTTGTTTCATTTTCTCACCCTTTTTCTCTTTCAAGCACGTAGCACACCATCAGCGATAGTTGTAGGAGAAATCACATGCTACAAAATAATATGACAGACTAGTAAATGAAGGGACATCCATGGACTATCGGCGATTGCTGACAGAGTTAGTCGTCACTGATTGGAAGCCAAATACTGAGCAGGTTGATAATTCTCTCATGGGCTACGTAAACAGAACTGACGTGTTTTAGATAGATAGTTTAATCGAACCGGCTTTCCTACGAAAGTAGGGTGAAGCTAATATAACAGCTTAGGTTGATTGGTTAGGAAATGACCTCAAGGAACTAAGTATGTGTCAAAACAATAGAGTTCAAGTATTTATTCACTTCCGTATTTTGTATAGGTATTGTATTTCCTATTATCCTAGATTGAATGTTGAGAAGCTTTGTTTGTCTGAACAGGTAACCCCACGCTTCATTGTGACTGCGCGAAGATTTAAATAAAGACCTATTCACTACTAGGGCACACTATGCGTGTTAGGTCACGGGTTTTCGCACACATGTAACATATTGTCGTGGATTTTATGTGTCGTTATTTATCAGCTATTAACAGCCTTTTTCCATCATATGTGACTTCTCGTAATCTGTGTGATTGGAAGATAGTTTTTATTTCCATTGATAAGCAGTTTGACGTATTTCGTGCTCACCACCTAAGTAAATATGTAGTTGGCGTAATATGGTTATTGTAAACAATACAAAGTCAAACAAGTCAAATCACCATTTTTCTAGTCAAAAATAAATTACAGATTGAGTTTTCATGAAAATAAGCCGTAAAAAGCATTATATATGGTTCACCTCCTTGATTATCATGACGGCAAACATAGATGTCCGTAGTCGTTTATAAAATGTAATTAGAAAGAAGTAATCGTTAAACTAATTATGAATATTATATAAATTTTTGTATTTAGCCATAAAATGTTATTTGGACTATAGGTAGCATTGTTTTGTACTGAAGTGACATATTATTGTGTAACGTATCAGAGAAAAATTATGTGAGTAACAATTGACGTTGATAGTCCTTTTTACCGGCTTTCTGAACGTACACAGGAATTGGGCCAGTGATTATCTTATTGACCTCGTAGCGTGACTATAGATCCAAACAGACAACTGCTTAAAACCAGTCAGAAACGGCATTCTATGAGATATTTTTCATGCTTGGACTCTGTTTACAAAGATAATCACTTTCTTTATTTTGTGCATATATGAGGTCGACTCTTAGTATGTTAGTGCTATTCATTTTTTCGGTCAAATAAGATCTTCGAGTCATTCAGAGTAAACTTGATTCACTATGGAAAGATGTTCAAAGTGTGATATCAGTGCCTGTCGATGGCATAAGAGGTGTATTTACCACGGTGAATATTTACAATATTTGCTTTTTGTATTGTGTTTATTAATCATTGGAGATATTGGCTGATAGAAATTTCCTTATTTATATTACACTGTTTCTAGCCTGTACTTCGCATATACTCTGTACCTCAAGATGCTTCTGATTCAGATGAAAGCGAAGATGGTATAAGTGAAGAAGAAGCAGTTATCGTTGAACAACAAAACTCTGAACCAAGTAAGACGGAAGTAAATAACATGTCAGGACATAGTCAAGACGGTATAGAGGGTCAGCTTAAAAATACTGAATCTGTCACTCAGTTAAGGACGACTGAGCTTACTGAATCGTAACGCATATGTTTGACAAGTATATCCGAAATAATTATTTATTTATAATTGCGCTTAAAATTTTATTCCATTACCGAACATGTTATTTTCAATTTGGTGTTTTATTATATATATAAGCATTACGCGTAAATTTCTGTTACTTAGTTGCGATAATCCATGAACTGCTCAGAATGGTTTCTTTTTATTTTAATGTACAACTTTCTATTCAAACCGAGCGGACCATATTCTCTCAATTTGTGCGACGGTCTTTCCTATTCGTCATTTGTGCCCACTTGAACCAAGCAGTCACAAATCAGAATACGTTGTTACTGACTGACTGACTGATACGATTTAAGACTAAATAAACACTAAAACGATATAGTTGATTTTAACTGATTGATTTAGTGTCCATGTTTTCACAACAATAGTTAACATATGTAGTGCTAGTTTACAAGCAAGATCATATCGTTATAACATTTATTGCATTAAGCTAATTAATTAAGTTGACATTATACAACAAACAAAGTAAAGACGCTTTATAGATGCTGTGTTGTGACTTAAAACTAGTAGTCAATGAATTATTCGAATGAATGCTGTACATATTTATAATGTGTAAGATAACGGTACACGCATTAATTATTTGAGACTGCTGTCTTACGGGTAGTAACACAAGAAGTAAAGGTACTCCAAGTAATATCGCTACTGTCATACCTGGACTTTAGTCAGATACTCAGTTGGGGACCTTGTCACATTCCTGAACGTCGGTACAGAGGACATGATACCTAGAGGATGGCTTTGCAAGCAACATATCAGGACCATCAAATGTTTAGTCTTGAATAAACATGTAGACAAAGCCATGAATTTAGGATGGTTAGATTATCTAATTACCAGCTCGTAGTTGATGTGTGCGATCAAGCGCTAATAGTGGGTTTGAAGTGAGGCACAGAACACCTGTTGAGTCAACTAGGAATAATCCTTTGGGTTAATAACCAAATGAAATTTACGGACCTCAGGGTCTGTTCTCAAGGTGTGTGACGGTGAAGATCTTAACAACTTAGTACGAACATTTAATTGCTGCATCCGATTTGACTACCGATTAGTTGAATAACTGTGTGCCTGTGTTTATTTCGAACCATCATTTACTACTAGTCTAGTTTCTTCTATCAATAGCACGGTTACTCATCGACACGAAAGCCTATACGAAGGATTTTGACCGTAGCTCTTTTATGGCATCGAGAAATAGATGCAACGCCGAAGTACGATTAAATAGATGTTCTGAGGCCAAGCTAGGAGCCAAATTACAAGCTGACTTCAAATGTCTCGACAGATTCATTATTAGGGAAAAGTCCACAAATCAGGGAATATGTGCACCCACAGAGATGTGAAACCAAACACGGGTTCAGGAAAGGCCTGTCCCGTGTGACAACCTCCGAAACTACCTAGAGGAAGAAGCCAAGACGAACTCATCTCTCCGCTTAATACAAGGAAGACTTGACGCAAACATAACAGAATTGTTCCTGACACTGCTTGAAGTGTACTCACGCTCCCAACTTGAAGTCCACAATGTTGGCCCGATCCTCTTTCCAAAAGTTGTGAATCTCTTATACCAAGTACAGGAATGGGCCAAGAAGTGGGCGATAGAACTAAAACTGAAGTCTCACGAGGACAGACTCCAACACTTGAGATTATTCTCATTGAACCACAGGAGAGTAAGGTGATCTGACCATAGCATACAACATATTAACTACACTAAATCACTCCAAGACGAATGTATTAGCAGAACATCATCACGACGTTCCTCGAGGCAACCCTCGGAGAATTGCACATCAAAGAACGAACACTCAGGTGAGTTTCCACCTTTCCTCATCAGAAGTTGCTCCCATTCGGAATGTCGTAGCAGCCGGATTGCCCATAGCCACATCAGTGGATAGCGTCAAGAGACTTGACAAACACATACTCACCCATGGATTACGATCTGATTCCTAGATTATCTGTGTCTGATATATGTCCGATAGTTTACCACTGTTATCATTACCGTGTATCAATAACCACTTCCTGTCTTTCTTGTTAACATCTCCATCTCCCCTCCTATCCTTTCAATTCCGTCTTCTTACACATTACCAATTTAGTAAATGAATTATTTGTTCCCGAAACAATCGTCTTCTGTTAGCACTCGAGTTATCACTTTATTATTTCACATTTCAACCAACAAACCTCCTATCTGGTAATATGATAGATAGCTGCTAGCATCCAGAAACCTACTGTCCTGAGACAAACACACTCAATGAACTTTGAAATATACAAATCCACAAATAGCTACCACACTGACTGGAATTAGTGTAGTCGAGTGGTTAGACTACCACTTATAGGACATTAGCAAATACCCGAAACATCAAGAAATGGGCGCAAAGAAATCAAACTGCCTATACAAGTTTGCCCAAACTGACCTCTAGATCGTTCTCAATTCAGGGGTTTTTGGTTTGTAGCGTTAGTGCGGTATTTTCTTCTGACCTGTCTCATTGCGCGGTGAGTTTCGAGTTGTTTTGTAATAACTTAGTTATACAATATTATGTGATGTTAAATGACGACCAGCTACAGGTGTTAATAAACTAGGTAGTAGTAAATCGCGGTTTGCATTTTAACTCATGTTACGTCTGTTACCGGGTCAGACGTATGCAACCTTGTACCATGGTGCATGTAGATTAAAATAAGCCGTCTTATGTGTTTTGCTATCTGGCCTTGCCATTTTTATTAGCGATATTTCCCATAATCTGCAGTCTATTCTGACACGATAACCGTCATTGTGCGAGAAGCCAGTTAGTCTTACAGCTCAAACGTTTTTCCCTTTAGAAACGACTCATATCTCGATCGTAACACCTCTCTTGGTCTAGTCTGCTGACTGTTTGAATTCGCAGAACGCTATTTCGGATCGAAAGTCTCGCGGTTAATCGCGCCTGAGAAGTAATGAACATAAGGAATTTCGACTTTGTGGTTATCTTATTCACTATTAAGGCTAACAGTTACTGGACCCTGGAATCAACCTGTAATGTTCAAGTAGTGAGTCTGTTTAATGTTAACATACTTTATTGGTAAGCCTTTTAATGACATACATTGCCATAAACCCCTCACAAGTGACTCAACGATAGGCTCAAATAGACCACATCGCAGTCAGCTATCGTTGAAATGGTTCAATATAAGACTGTCTCGCATTCAGACAGTCACAGATAAACAGAAAGCGTAAGAAACCTGGCACAAGTGTTTTTCGGTTCAAGTAGTGACATTCACTACTGCTAGATATTGGTTTGTATTACAGATTTATTAAGATGCTGTCCGTAGTAAGAAGCTGTAACAAAAAAGCAGTTGGAAAAGAACTTGGTAAAAATTTCATTCACTTAGTGTGGATTAATGTATCCAACTTTTAACCACTATTAACTTGAGGTTCGGAAGTACTGTTTAGCTGTCCAACACATTAGGTGCGTTATGGTTTGAATCTATGACCGTTTGAATGAAAGTCGAGCGCTTTGATCACAAACCCAACATTCGGGAAATAAAGGGCCTATAATAACAGTGTACCCCAAACTTAGCTAATGAGTGATTAGGTCTTCGGCAATGTGATCGGTTGGAGAAAGGAACCTTAAAGGCTCTAACTATGGACACCTTCAGCGACCCGTGAGTTTATTTGACTTATAAGTTCTACACGTTAAATGATCTATTTCATAACTTGTCGTATCATGTAAGTATTCCATGTAAAATAACTCTTAAATCTTCTATATCTCTAACATTCGTCGTTAGCTCTTTGGTAACTTAATAATTCCCAGTTCCACTGAATGTCCTTCCTGTTTTGATCCTGTAAGTACGTAAAAACGCAGGGCTTCTCATCTTTGGGGTCCTGCCAGAAATTATTTTTGGAAATTACTATTAATTATAATTGTCTTGGTCCCCAAATGCCTTGGTACGACCCAAGGTGGAGACAGTCCGCTCTCTCACTCGGAATGCTCTCATATAGCCGTTGTCAGGAAAATTCTAATCACTGCCTCCTCGTGGCGGGAGTATTTGTGAAATTGAAAGAACGAAAGACGTATTTCTGAGTACGGAGCATCTACCTATGGGAGTTGAAAAAACTGATTCCAAGCTAATGGTGCACATGGACTCTAGGATCCTGATGGAACAAATGGTGTATGAACTTATTGTAGGTCGCCAGCTACCATGAGATGAATCTAACGTTGCCCCACTGTCTTGTGGATCAGACCTCTGTCAAACGCTCGGGGGTGTGGCTATTTGAGGAAAACAATCGCCTCGGTTTGGTTACGTAGATAGTATCCCCGAACATACAAATTCAGTGACCTGTAGTGCAAATCTATTCCGGTTCCCCTTTTACCAATGCTTGTTTGCTTAAACAAATAAAATAAATGTACACTACATCCTTTAATGCTTAATAGTTTTAACTAAATGTTATGTGTATTTTCCCAGTTTCATCACTACAAAAATGGTCACTCTAATTTAGGTTCCTAGCGCTCTTTTCATACTCAGGTGAACTTTTAATTAGATTAGCCTGAATGTATAACATTAGTGAGACTTGTTTTCGAGCGTACGAATTTTATTTGTAGAGGATATAAATTTTGGTACAAAGAGGTCTAGAAAGTGCGCCACATAGACGGGAATCATTATACTGTAAACACATGTTAAGGAAGTCTTACAATAGATAAATAAGTAAGAATGGTATTTATTGTAACAAAGTAGAGTCTTCTTAAAAACAACGAAAAGAAATCTCCACCAGTTAAGAAATTTATCCTTTTTTCATGGAGAATGTATTAGTATGCTACAGCAAGAATGCTACTAGCTTCTATTATGAGTTATTTCTGGCTAAGTTTCAAGCCACTAAGTTGGTGGAGTTTTGTTATCTGAGCCGAATGGTTTGGTTGTGAAACTTTCATCGTTCTTCTAAATACCAGCATAAAATTCAGATAGAAGTGAAATATTCGAATTTCTCCATATATGACTAGCAGCTTTTCCTGTCAATCTCGATCTTGATTGGTTATTGTTGACCAACAATAATCATTTTGTTCATTAGAACAATGAAGGCTTGACTACCAGACCATGCAGCTCAGGTAACAAAGCTCCACCAAAATCATTCACCTGAGCTAGGAATCTTCACCATCTCAGGGCCACTGATTTCTGTGATTAGGATACCACAAAGAGACTCGTTGGGGAACTAAAAGCTAGACGTTCAGAACAGCTATATTTGAAATCTATCATTATTTAAACACAAACACTGGTATAAGGAGGCACCAAATACATATGCGCCACATAAATCATTCGATTTATGGGAGTGTTGGGATACTTTCCGGTTGCTGAAACCGAAGCAGATCGTCTTCTTAGGCAAAGTGTTCGTACGTTAAAAGCTCCTACGTGTAGTTTAGAGCGTGGTTTCAGGAGACCAGGAATGGCGTTCCACGTACTCGAATCGTTTGCCCTAGCGGTGCGAGGTGATAAAGAGACGTGATGAGGGTTAGTCGGGAGGATAAGAGAGGTATTAGGAGGTGTAGGAAGGATTTGAATGTGACCACCTTGGTCTCTTGTGCTGTTACGGGTATGAGGGCTGATGTCACTTCCCGGCTGCCCACACCGTGGAAGGGTATTTCTTGAGGAACCTGAAAAGGAAATTGGATTAGTGTTAGTCTTGACGACCTGGGAGCGTGACCGCAGAGCCCAAGGGACAACTGCTTGAGGCCGGTCGCGCACGGCCTTTTTGTGGAAGGTTTTTGACGTGTTAGCTCCGTTCTTCAAGGGGCCTTACCGCCGGAGACGGAAATCCGTGAGGTAAGGTGAGGTGTGCATTTTTAGGGTCGACCTTTTCTAACCCCACCCCTCCTTGTGGGAAGGCAGCATCGCTGTCATGCTGGTTGTCCGAGGGAAACACCTTACTGCTGTCACACCTCTCTACAGTCAGCAGTACGACTTCGCCCCCAGACCTTGAGTTGCTGCTTTTAGTCTTACCGTTCGCCAATCGACCTGCCTGGCATGGTAGAACCTGCAGGAACATATGTTCCAGCCAATATAGCTCGGTTGGGTCATCACGATAGGCAAGCCCGACCACCGCGTCAAGGTAGCAGCTTCGATCGGGGGCCAAACCACCAACCTTCGACCTAAAGGTCTGATCCACAAGACAGTGGAGCAACGTCAGAAGATGCAGTCCCATGGTAGCCGGTGACCAACGATTGGTTCATACACCATTTATTCCCTCAGGCTCGTGGAGCCCATGTACACCATTGGTTTGGAATCAGGGTTTTCCAACTCCCCTAGTTGGATCCTCATTATCCATCAACCCGGTTAAAGCGCCGGACATTCACTTTACGTCCTCTCAATTTCGTAAACAACACTGATGCCATGAGATGGCAGTGAGTAGGACTTCCCTGGTAGTGGTTGTATGTGAGAGCATTTCATGAGGGTGAACTGACTCTTCCCATCTTCGGCCGTACCAGGGCAACGATAGTCCTGCAATTTTTATGATGATCTACCTAATTTTATGTGTAAAATTCATGCTCAGCATTATATTTTGATAGAAAAAATGAACGCAACTAAATTTACTCCATACATAAAAGTGATTGAAGAGATACGGGTCATATTAGATATAGTGACCGGTTATTATTGTTTTCGACAAGTCTAATTTTAGCGTCGAAGTGGTTATCAGTATCATGAGATGTCGTTTTGGTGGGTCCGTTTGCTTCGATTTCACATTTCGAATGATAATGATATGTATTGAGCATCTGTACGATTGTAAAAAAGCATTCGAAAGAATCTTGTCTGTTATTGAACTAACTGTATGTTGTAGTAGCTTCATCTGCATAACTTAAATTTTATCTAGCTTTGTTTTCCTTTGTTTTGCAGCACAATGCTCGCCACTGCAACATGGTTGTGTCGTAGCCATCATGTCTCGAAACTGGCTAACCAACTACACCGCTCAACACCTTTCGTTAAACCGTCTATATCAAATCATTCTGTTCGATTGTTTCGCACATTTCCAGTAGTTAATAGTTCTATACGTAGGCGTGTGGGGCGTATCAATCTAAAATCAGGAGCCACGGAGTTTGAACATTCCCTCAGTAAGTTATACAACTAACTAGCATCTGAATCTATAAGCCTTCACGCAGGTACCTTTTGTCTACTTTATGTAACCTAATCTAACCACTGAGTGTCAAGTGAAATACGCTCTCTATGTTACGGCCATTTTCATTCGATATTTCCTAAGTGATGTTTTCATGAATGATAATAGAGATCTAACATTTGTTTATGATGAAACTTAGTGGCGATAGCCTCTGTCCAACTAATGGAGAGCTCGTTTTGCTCATTTGCCTAGCAAATGCTTTGATAGATCAACCAAAAACTCGAGATTTTCAAACACATGACAACGGTTAGTTTTCTGTTTATTATTTCGGAGCGGTGGTTTTACTGAGTCGTCCTAATTTCAACCAGATCATAGATTCAAACTCCTTCACCTGTTTCTGTTTAGACAGCTGTGTATTTTCACTTTAATGTCGTGATGAGGGTTGCCTTTCGTGATGATTCAACCGAGCTATATTTCATGAAACACATGTTCCTTTAGGTTCTATCATGCCGGAACGTCGGATAAAAAAAACGGAAAGACTAAAAACAGCAACTTAAGGTTTGAGAGCGAAGTGTTACTGCTGACTGTAGAGGGTTGCGACAGCAGTAACGTGTTTCCTTCGGACGGATAGCATCTTCAGTGATTCTGATTTCTCATAAAAAAGAAAAGGATTAAGAGAGGTTGAGCTCAAAATTGTCACACCTCGCATTATCTCACGGATTTCCGTCTCCAAAGGTAAGGCTTACTAGAGTATGGCGCTAACACCAAATACTTACAACATGAAGGGTGTGTCTTCAACCACGCTCTCAGTTCACTGAGACCATCAGTAATCCAGCTTCCTTTTCGGATAACGCCAGACAACTTTTCATACTTATCAAGGAAGCAGGCCTTAAGAGTTCGGGAATTGGTAAAACGATCTTAGCAAAAGACGGGGCTATCATTCACACTCAATCTAGGAGATTGAACTGATGGACACAACACTAGGGAACAGTTCAGTTGGTCTTCAGCTACACTTTAGTTACCCACTCTCTACAATCAACTTGAATTCTGAATTGATGTCTGACCAAATCACTCTTCAGCAGGTTCTGGAACATAGACATACTTTTCTACATCTAACTACAGTTGTATTCATTGACCAGTCATTATTAGACTCCATTGATCCACAAGTTTTATGGCAATGTATGTCATTAAAAGGCTTACCAATAAAGTATGTTAACATTAAACAGACTCACTGCTTGAACATTACAGGTTGATTCCGAGCTTGTGGAGAACTGTTATCGGAACTGGTTAAAGTAGTGTTTGTCAGGGCTATCTGCTTTTTCCATTTTTATGGAACTTTGTCATAGACGCGCTTTTAAAGATAATACATCGTCTGACTTTTCGAGGGTCGACCTTCCACCAGGAGATATATTTGTTGATATAGTTCTGTCTGATAAAGGCCAGATATCCTTCTGCCGACTGAAGAACGAGTTTACTGTGCAGCAGTTCGCCCAGTTCTACTTTGTGAGTAACATGCCCACTAATAATAAAAGATATTCGTGGGTTACTAGTATTCAGTTATAGATGTCTTTGAAAAATTGCTTGTATATTTTGGAACCACGGAGTAAGAAATACCTGGGTCAGGAACAGGGTGCTAGTGTGGTATATTCTCCTTATGTTGACAGATATAAGTAATATGTAACGCCAATCAGAATTGGAATAGCTCTCGAATGAGGATTAAGAAGAGTGAACTGAAGACATTCGGAAGTCAAACAGAAAGGGATCGGAATAAAAACAGAATTGGATGAATCATAAAGGATGTGAAGGACGGCTGGTGGAAGATATGTAAACGAGGTATTTAATGTATGAAAGGACGGATGGTGGCTAGCAGTGGAGTTCAGGATGCACTTTTCGTCCTAATTGGGCTCGAAACCAGTTTTTCCATTTTTAGTTCTAACCAAGTTATTAATGTTGATGACAAGACTCGCAAATTTTGGATAGGTCCCATCTTATCATTAATGTGAGATCTATCGATTAGTTTTCATGCAAAATAAGCATTCCGATAATCTACTATCTAATTGCAAGTTAGCACGAATAAACCATTGAGGATTTACTGATTTTCAGGGATCCGTTTGCTATAATTATATGAAGTAAGGGAGACTATGATATTTAATTATCGTGTTTCATCATTCCTCTCCATTGGGTTGGTTCCATTCAATTTCATTACCATACAAGTAATGTAGACATAATATAGTTTTATATTTAAGCACTCTGTAGGTCGTTTATCGATTGGTAAAGTTGTTCTGTGGTTCCAGATACACTGTAAGCAAGTTCTTCTAGCGGCTCAGAAGGATGAATATGTATGTTAACACCTACAGACCTATCTCATTTTTCTTCATAGGGCAATGAAACTCAGTCTAGCTTAGGATATCATGAGGTATAACTCAGGAATCATAACTACAATTACACAGTAATTACGAATATCAAGTGTTACATTCAGTACGCAAACTTGTAACTCAAAAGCGTAGACGAGCATTGACTGTGTTTGTATGACACCATGAAAACGGTCGGGTGCATCTCTTACGGCTTTGCGAAACGTCCCGCCTCATAGGCACCAGTTTTCTATAATCTCCTTACAACTGTTTGAAGCATGTCGTTTTGTTCCGATAGACTGCGAGTTTAGTGTTAGGGGCAGATTCAAAATTAAGGAAAATATGCAAAGCTTTCGTAATAATTGAAAAACCTGGTAGTTGGAGCTTGCTTACGAGTTGAAGACAGCAGTTATGTCTGATAATTGCTGGGAGCTGATTTAACTAATTCTAGCCAGTGGCGTGTTAGTTGGGTGGGGTGACACGAACCAGAATAAAAGACAGTGACGGTCCTACCGTAGTTCTTTTTAAATTCTTCATAAAAGTAAGGAATATTCTTAGAACTGATTCATCTGTCGTTCGGTTATTTTCTTCTGGTTCGTCAATTTATTTTGATTATGTTTCATTTCACCCATCTCTCCATAATATAATGGTCTTATTGTGTGACGCATAATTTATTTTGGTGTCCATTGGTACCGATATTTCTGCGGTTTAAGTAAATAAGCAGATTGGTTTTACGTCTGCGCGGTACGATTTATGATGCTGTCATCATTCCATTCATATAACCTTTGCGTGTTCCTCTGTAGTTACGGCTGTAATTTTACCCCAGTAAAAATTTAAATAAAGTTTGGTATTCTAACACTTTCAGCATTTTGTTGGAGCAGCACGATATGTGTGTATGTACACTGGTATATGTCACAATGTCTCAACCCGAAGTTCAAGTTTGCCCTTACCAACATTTTTTACCCCTACGCATGTCTAACATTTTAGAATGTCAACCTGTATATCTTTTCCTCTATGTTCTTCGAATTTACTGTTTACCACTAGTATGACAGTATCCTCAGTCAATTTTTATAGCAGATCATTTCAAATTAACTTTAATTCATATACTGCCAGGAATGATAGACCAAGTAGCTAATGCCAGGTGAATTATTAATGATCACAGTTTGGAGAAAAAGCGAATATTATTATTATTACTTTTCAGAAAATAACAGCTAGTAGCTTTCTTCTTGAAACTGTTCATTTTATTAGACAAAACGGGATGAAAAAAATTTTATATAAAAAATTGTAAATGTTGTTCGTCATTTCCTTGTATATTGTTGTAAACTTCAAGTTCGTGGTTTTTATTTTTTCAGATTTCAGTAAAACTCGAGCTTTAGTGGGTGCTGCAGCTGCAATCAGTATTGGTGGTCTTTGTCTTTATGGTTTAGCTGGCAAGGATAGTTCACTTTCAGCTTTTGATCGTTCAGTTGCTTGGCCGGATTACGTTAAACAGCGTATTCGAGCGACGTATAGCTATTTACTAGCCAGTGCTACAATTGCAGCTGGTTCAACTATCGCATTGTTTCAGTCTCCTACTATGTGTCGTTTGATGCTAAGTGGTGGGTGGCTTGCTCCTATTGGAATGGCAGTATTGAGTATAGCTACAGGAGTTATTTGTCAGGTAATCATCTTTTTGATAAGTTTGTTGAATAACCTACCATGGTTTGTATCCACTAAATGATTTACTGACTCCAAACATACACAATCTAATCCATTATCATCTATCCATTGACAGAGTAAGTACTTCTACAATGCTTCTAAGGTTGAAGTGAAACTTCTGTTCAATAGTTTTAGTATATGGACATCGGTATATTTAGCTACAGACTGTTTGTTCGTGTTACGTTGAAAAGTGTAATCTTTGGTTAGAGTTCACCAGAAAATCGTAATATATAAGTGGTATTCTTGAGTGATAAGGCACGAAATAGTCGTTAGTTCAAATACATTCATTCATCATCTTCATGTAAACTTTAAGCTTAGTATCATTCCATACTCATATTTGGTTTGCTACTACCGACGGTATTGTTGTTTTTATTCCTCGTCTTGTTCGTTTTCTCTTATTACCAGTAATTTCACTCTGTTACAAACAGTTACTGAGTTGTGTTTGATTTCACACGTTAAGGTTGCAATAAAGCAAAGACTCAAGCTCTTCCAGATTGTCTAGTGAACTAATAGTTTAGTGTTTTGGTTTGTTATAGATAAAATTACTTGTCTTAAGTATCACTAGTGTTTAAGTTCAAGCTTCCTCATACCTTAAAACATCCGTTTGACACTGCAATTCTAGTCGTACATACTGTTACACCAAGTACTATAACGAACTGAACGCTTGATGAGTCAGTGGTTTAGTCCTCTAATATACTACATTATGATTTCAAAACCCTCTTTGATTTAAATTACTTCACAATGATATTTAACCTCTTGGACGAGAGTAAGTGAAGTGAACAAATCTGCTTATGATGATGCAATCGGCGTCTAATTATATGACCTATTAGTTTACATAGTGTTCATAATAACGAAATTCCAACAGACCCTTATATTTAACTATATGCAGTTCGGGAAAATGTGGTGCTCGGGTTGTCTAGTCCCCAATTTTACTTCACTTTGTCATAAGCGATTTTAGGAGTGACACATCATCCGATAGATGAACTGTTTTATAACAAGCACCACTACTGTTGGTTTAAACAGCATTGGGATGAAGGGTCGTTTCACTATTAAGAAGTTTGTAGTAATTTTTATTATGGTCAGAATGGAGGTTTTATGGAGATTGTAGTAATTTTAATAGTTGAATTCATGAGTCAATGTAAGCTAGACCATCACTGATAACCTGGAAGCACTAGACGGTCGTTTCATCGTAGTTCGGGACCCCTCAGCAGCGCGCACCCACGATTCCGCACGTGGAACTCAAACTCAGAACCTTCGGTCTCGCTCGCGAACGCTTAGAATCGAGATCACTGAGCTGGCATCCAACGGTGTTAATTTCTAACTTCAATCAATCCATGATCTTGTGCAACCATTCATCCGTTGTCTGAGGTAGATATCTGTCTCTACCCGACACGGATTGGACTCCACTGGAGCCTTGGCAAAGATTACATGCTGATTTCACTGATGCAATACAAGGCGGGAATTTCTTAGTTGTTGTGGATGCTTTTGCGAAGTGGACGGAAGTATACGGTATGCCGAACATGACGTCAGAGGATACAATAAGATTTTCAAGATTGCTTGCTTGTTTCGGGGTTCTGTAGGTCTTATTAACTGACAGTGGCACTCAGTTCATGTCGTCCGCTCTCAAACAGTTCTGCAGTAAAAATGGCATTGCGCATCTACGGTCTTCTCCGTACCATCCCCAGTTAAATGGCTAAGATTCATGAGTACGATAAAACGGGCTTTGACTAAAGGGGTAGATGAGATATTCCAGCACAAGTGATCTGTTTCAAGGTGATTAAAAATGTGAACCAGATATTATTAATCGTTGGGTTGGAAAAGTACTGTACTTAGTTCGAAAAGTGTCGGGTCTTGTATAAGACATGCCAATCAAATTCAGAGGGATGGTAGGACCAAGATTACATAACGCCAGTTCCTTTTCAAATGCTTGTGAATTCACTTCAAAAGATGCCCTAAGGAAGACGAAAGCAGATGATATAAAAGACGAAAGGGCAAAAAAGCACAACCTTCAAGAGAAATGCAGTGACCAAGTTTCAATCGGACCCGAGCAGAAAGTTTTACACAAGAGACTTCAGAGAGAACAGGTGTGGGGACAACTCCCGGTGAACTCAAAGAAGCCCTGAACGAGCCGAAGACATTCCATGTAATCATCATTTAGAAGGACATTCTAGAATCTCGACGTGTATCTACCAGATTGGACAAATGCTAAAAACCACTGCACGCAGATTGGATGACTAATGATGATTCCGTTTTTGCCAAAAAATACGAATGCCCGAGAGTTTTGTACCATATTGGACACTGGAATAACATTCCTTCTCACTCGTTTTCTGTCTTCTCATTTGCGACTTGGAAGGTTCAAGTTGTAGATATAACACTGCTAAAGGAAGGTTCTTGGGCAAACTGTATGCCTCTCGACTAATGAATGTAAAAGAAGTGCACTTCATTCTGATCATTCTTAATATCATTTAGTCACACACTATATTCGGAGTCGTTCCCTCGGACAATTTTTCAATTGGATTGTCATTTAAGAACGGTCTTCATCATGGAAAAATCATCACTTTATTTATGCATCACATAAATAGGTTTTTAAACCAATATGTAAGAGACGATTTCGTAATTTGCCTCTGGAACCGGTAATATGGATTTTCCTATACAAATTAAAAATCGATGAGGTAACTATTTAGTCTTGGGTGTACATAGCTTTTATTCCTTTTGCATCAAAGTGCGAACGCGAAAGACGGTGCATACTAAAAATGCTTTTACAACAACAACGACCACTAATTCAACTATTCTGGGATTCATCTTTAAATTATTTAATCTTGTGCTAATGTGGTATGGCGACTTGAAGCGTCGCATAATATGATGATCATATCTCATGTAGTGTTGATTTTTTGTTTGATGGTGGTGAATAACACGTATTTTGTCTATGCTAATAGCCCATAATATTTCATAGGATTCGATCAGATTGGGAGTTCAGTTAGTTTTCTTGGTATCTTCTGAACTATAGAATCCGTGTCTTAATCTGTAGTATATGTGATTTTCTCCATTTCTAACATCATTTGGTGTGTCTGAGTTAGTGGATCTAGTAACTTAGGTGTTGCCTTTTATTCGAATAATTTTACTTAAGTCAATTTTTGGTGTCGGGATGAATTCCCCGGCTGGCTTCTGTATGAAACCCCAGTTAACCATTGTGTATGTTTGAGATTCATTTCGATGCTTATGAAAACATTTAATCGTTTTCACGTACAACATAGTTTATATTTACTTGAGCTAATTAATTTACTATCATTGGTCTAAATCTACATCGTTTGGTTGATAGTAAGTGCACCAGTCTCTTTTGATCAAAATTTCATAAATCAACTAGAATCAATTAACTTTTGGACCTTTCATTTCATTGAATGCTTTTAAAAAAAGTGTTTCATGCTTTTTAATTGAAAGGTTTTCCAATACAATATTTTTAAATGTTTTTATCTGAATTCACTTGTATGTTCTTTTTCTAGTCACTTACATATCCACAATCGGGTCTAAGTGTTAAGCATTTAGCATGGGTTGCATATTCTGTGAGTTTAGGCGGTATCCTGATGCCTATATGCTTAGTTGGCGGACCCATTCTTATTCAGGCTGCTTTGTATACTGGAGGTATAGTGGGTTCCTTGTCACTGGTTGCAGTGACAGCACCATCAGACCGTTTCATCAACTGGGGTGGTCCTTTGGCGATTGGTTTAGGAGTTGTTTTTGTGTCATCTGTCGGTAGGTTAATTATCACTATAGAATTCTGATTCATGTTTTTTATATTGATTAGTAACGTATTTTCCATAAATACACCGGTTGCAATTAGTCTATGATCATTTTTTAACCAAATACCCCTTCCAGGCATTAGGTTGCTGAAGCCTATTGGCTTTTTTGAAGATGCTCCTTGAAACACGGCACAACTATCAGGGCACAATAGCTGTTTGAGTTTTCCTTGGTCATACTTTCCCAGTTATTGCCGAGCATTATTTGTGTATCACGTAACAATGGTTTATTATACCTTTATTTTGTCTGCCAAATTTTTGTGCAACCCGTGTATAGTCATTTATGTAGGCTGATGGCTTTTTGACCGTTCGGTTGTGTTGGTAGTGTGGTTATTGACTTAGTGATTTTTATGTTTGTTGTTATGGGTTGATAAGGTTGTAGGAGACATGATCAAATGTGACTATTTAGCCATCCCACTGTTTTGTATGTTTTTGAGTAGTCTGCCATCGGGTACTTTTGTACTTCTGTATCTGTGAAAGTCTAAGTTGTTGAGTGGTTGTTCCTTAAGTGTTTGTTCATACCTTTTATTGTTGTGTACATTTGCAACAGTTTGTTTGTGCATACGTATATTTGCGTTCCTTGGCAAATTTTCTCCGGTTTGTACTCTCCGTCATTATTTAGTTTTATCTTAGTTGGGTGCTCTGCCCAAGTCGTTGGTAATTCTTTGAGCACATTTAAGTAGGGTTTTATTTGTCTTAGTCAACATTTTGCGAGGTGTTTTTACTTGTTATGGTGCTTTCGATAATTATGATCTTCAATTTGTCAGGTCTTTCGGGGTCTGTGTACCATATGTTTAGTTGGTTCTCCTGGACTTTTGTGGTCATGTTTGAGAGACTAATGTTACCTTATAGTTCCTCCACTGTTAGATCTCTACGGTTGTTTATTCCGAGGATCAATATTTGCTGTATTAAAGACAACGAGTCTCACCCAATCCTTCTTTCTTAATACTATAGTCTCTAGACCATAGATTAAGGTCGGAATTATAGTGGATTCTATCAGCTTCCTTTTAGTTAGTTTGAATAATGTCTGATTTTAAGAGTAGTTGGATTTCTATTTTTGCGTAACGAGCTTTAGTAACCTTTTGGTCAACTGCATGTTCAGGCAGTCCGTCTAGTTGGATTATGGATTACAGATGGTTAAAGGACGTTACTTTAATAACTGTGTCGTCAAAACAAGTTGGCTGGTTGTTGTATTGTTTATTTACGGTCATCGTCTTTGTCTTGTCGGTTGAGATTGTCATTCCAAAGGCTTCTGGAGTTTGGTCAGTGTTTGAGGGGCATGTTACTTATGATGAGTCGTGGGCATATTTATTCACCCAAAGAATTTGCCAAAAATGTCCAGTAAGAATATTTCCCGGTAATTTTTCGAGTTTGTGTTCATATCTTTATGTTCGTAAATGCTGATAATGTCTACCATCAATCCAGAGGCATAGGGTTTCGTTTGTATTAGCCCAGAATTGGTTCATTACTCCTAAGATAATATTTTGTTGGTTTCTTTCCTCTATATGTTGCCATTTTGTTTGTGATGTTCCCAAAGGCTCTATCATTTTTCAATCATTTAATGGTTTGCTCTAGCTCATATAGGCTGGTGGGGCTATCGTTTTGATGGTTTGTTTCCATGTTTGTTTTGGTCAATTGTATCATGGATTTGTAGCTGAATATTTATTGATAGTGGTCTATCAGTGCTTGTTTACTGATTTGTGTAGTCGGTTCTGTGTCGCATGAAGTTTCGTTGTTTGTTATCGCGAATATAGCGCTTAGACATTTGTGTGTTTAGCCGGTGTTCATTTTGTGTGAAGATTTGGTCTATATTTGTTAGTTTTGTTTATATGTTGTCTTTAAGTTGTTTGTTGACGTCGTTTCTCTATCAGGTGGAGTTGTTTCGTTTTAGCTCTGTTGGTTCGTCAAGCCTCTTTTTTCTTAGTTTGTGTTTTCCTTCGGTTTCCTCTATCCTGGTGGGTTAGTATACTTTTCCATTTATGTTTAGTTGATGTTACCTTAGCTTGTGTGGAAACGGAAGTTGCAATGTTCAGCATGGTTTGCTCAGTTTGTTTGAGATTAAATTTCTCCTCCTGGACGCTTTTAGTTTTTTCATATTGTGTTGATTTATATATGCATATAGATGTGATCGTTGTTCATCGCTTCTGGTGGTGTTTATGGTGTTTTTTACTCCCTTTCTTGTTCGTTCTATCAACAACCCTTACTAAGTGCCGGTCAGAGTTTGCATCAGCTGATAGACTCGTATGGGCATCAAATATCTGAAAGTTAATTTGACCTAACCAAGTAAAATTTATGGCGCTAGTATTTCCTCTTTGAAATCTTGGTAAAAGCATCATGCATTCTTTTTGATCTAAACCAAACCATTTTGACAAAGAATACTCGAACAATCAACATAAATATCGTCAGACATTTAAACACTAGGCGCCCAAAAATCAATAACTTGATGAGAGAAAGACCCTAAAATGTAGTTATTTGACATTTTTTTAGTGATTCTAATTGTTCAAAATCAAACCTTGAAATGATTTATACCAATGAATAATAATAATCTATTAATGTCATGAAAAGGACTTGAATGAATAATTTCTAGCGTCTTAACGCATCATTGGGTACGAAAAACTAGACTTCTTGATCAGTAAATGTGTAATTAACAATGTGGTTAAAATGGGTTTTCAGTTAACTTTTTAAGTGACGGCATGTTCACAGCATTTGAAATCTATTTTTTCACATTATTGCAACAGCTTTAATGTTAACCAAAAGTACAATTATTATCGTTGATTTAAGTTCTAAGCAAACATAATCTAACCTCATGTTTTCTTCTATAAGGTTCCATGTTTCTATCTCCTGTAAGTCGTTTGGGATCTGGTTTAGCGTCTATCAGTCTTTACGGTGGCCTTCTTCTGTTTTCTGGATTCCTACTTTACGATACACAACATGTGATAAGACGGGCAGAATCTCATCCACCTCCGAATTTCTATTTACCAACTAACAAAGGATTTCAGAATCCAGAAGTATTAAAACCATTTGACCCGATCAACAAGTTAGTGATTTTCTATGCAATATTATCATTAAACCGTGAACTGTTCCTATTTTTGAGGGATGCATTGAGATCGAAAGTAACGGTTGTATGTATTTAAAAAATGCAATTACAGTAACTGGTAAACATGACACTCCGTACTCTCAAATGCCATTAGAATGGATACCGGTTACTGAATATCGGTAAGTAGGATAACTTAATATACGAAAGAGGATTGGAAAGGGAGAGAATAAAGTTATTTTTTTAAAAAAGAAAACATATAAAAAAGAATATTCATTTCAGTAAATTCTCTTCCAGTTCTGTAGTCCTATATATAAGTTCATAATCCAAAAGTGGCCAGGTTTAAGGCAAACATTGTTTTGAAGTCGTACCACATTAATTTCGGATTGACATACAGAAAGTGCTGTTAAACTTAACAATGCATTTCACATATGAGTTGGTATGAAGGAAAATCTATTTTTACTCCCGTTTTACCATAATTAAGTATTAATTGTCATATTACATGCATTTTCTAACTTTCTCAATAAGCTTAAATTATAGGTATTAAATTTTTCAATGTTAACTTGCCTGTCATTTATATTATACAAAAATCCATTTTTGTGTTTTGTCCATCGAATTTATTGATGAAAAACTACTCAATATTTGACCTAAAAGTTTACTCTATTTTCACAAACCTTATTGATAGTTAGGAACTCATATTTCTTTGACTACATTGCTATGTTGGTGATTATATTACTATGTTGAAATATTCGAAGTAGTTAATGGTGGATCTTGATTCTTTTCATTACTTCAGTTCCATTCGAATTTTATTGGATGCTGTGAACATATTTGTTCGCATAGCAGTAATGTTATCTGGTGGTGGCCAACGTAAGAAATGAAGTTTATTTACTATCTTATTCTCACCAAACAACGAACTACATTTCTATCTTTTATGACATTAAAATTTATTTGATTTATCAAGTGCTTGTGTTAATCATCAAATCGAATAAATGTCATTCGTGTTTTAGCGTGTAAGTTAGTGATTTCCATATCAGTTGCATCATGTTTGAAACGAATGAGACTTAGTAGTTTGAATTGAAAATACTTTAAAGTGAATAACTAAACTTTTTGCTCTACAGAACTGATGGACTAAGTAATGGGGTTAGCGATGTTTTCCTAAACGTGAAGAATAAACTATACATACATTGTAAACTTAGCAGCGCACAAAAGTATAACAGATGAGTTGATTTGACGTTCACTGATATGACATGACAGAGTAGTCGCAGAGTATCTAAGTCTTGAATATATAACTCAAAAAATTTCTCTTTAATACATACCCCTGGTCAGACTGTTGTGGTGGTCTGTCTTACTAACTTGACAGGCTGTGGTTCGGAGTTATCAGCGATGCCAAAATTAGAAACCCTTCATCTTGTACACCACATCAGAGGTAAGACTTCAATGTGGTTTCAGTAGTTGTAGTATTTTCTAAAATAGAAATATAGCATAGGCGGCAGTTATGAAGAAGGCTTAAGGCCAAAGCAGGTTAGTTGAAGAAGTTATGTTTAGCTATAGGAATTAACGACCGGTGGTTTGTTCCCGGGATTGCACCAAATAAAAATCGGATTATAAAGACAGGCAGGAATTGGATTTTCCTTCTTTGGATTGAGTGATTTTACCGTGAGGATTTTCTTGTTCATCTGAACAAAAGCAGCACAAACTTTATGAACAAGTGAGCTATTCGAATATCGCTACATACGGCTGACAGCCTATCCTGTCGAACTTTAGTGTTCGTCTTTATCCTGTCGTCCTATATATATTTATTTTGGCTGTCCAACCGTTTGGTCTGATTTTTGGTCCTATGTTTGTTCATGGTTTTTCAAAATGATTGATAAATTTTGTCAATTTCGATGTGTTCATTGACTGACGATTGACTTGGTTATCAAGCCTCGAAAATTTCTGTGATCTAAGTGTCATCTATATCCGAAATTTGAAAATGACGTCTGTCGGATTTTTATCTGTGCATTGATGTGGTCGAAGACGTATCATGATGTTTGACAACCTATTGGTATTCATGTAGGCGAACATTTGATGTTTTAACACTCGATTATCACGTTATTTTCACATTACATCCAACCAACCTCCTGCCTGATAATGATAGCCGCTGGCATCCTACCACCCTTAGGCAAGATGCACTCACTCAAGTTACAAATCCACAAATAACTATCACACTGGTTGCAATTGGTGTAGTTCAGTGACTAGACTACCGTACCGTCTCGAAGGTTTCAAGAAATTGATATCCGATCAGTGCACTTAGAAGTATAGGGAGTGCCTGTCTTTGAAGGTTAGGTTAATTCCACATGGTTCACGGTAAGTTTTGAAGTTAAGCTGGTTGGAAAATGGATAATAATCCTGACTGGGCACTCTAATTGAGTTACTCTCATTGTAACTCCACTTAAGGCGGGTAGTAAACCACCGAGGAAGTATGGTGATTACAGCCTGACATAAAGATACATAAATTATGAGGGTCAAGGTAATTTTCTGAAACAGGTTTGGGAGATGCGTATTTGCGAATCCCATTGCATGAAATCTAGTGAACTAACTACCATTAATACACCATTCTGGTTTTTCAGATACAAATCCCTACCATTCGGACTAAATGTTTCCCTTGCAGTACTCCAGAAGGTTATAAATGAGATTATCACCGGCTCTGATGGTGTTCAGTCGTATCAGGATGATATCGTAGTTCATGCTGAAAATGTGAAGTCACATATGGAACATCTTTTAAAACTACTTAGACGCTTATTTGGCTGTAAATTTACCCGTGTCAGTCTCAACTTATTTCTATCAAGTTCTTAAGCTATACTGTAAGTGCTAAGTGTTTTAAATCTAATATGAGTCGTCTCGCTCCCCCAATACAAGCACCGTCACTTAAGAATATCTCAGTATCCAGATTGTGGATTGGTGCTCTACAGCTTCATTCCAGAATTATACCTGGCTTTACAAAAATATTGTCTACACTCTCCTACCTGGTTTCCGGTAAAGAGATTGTATTGAGTCGACGACGCGAGGATACAGTAAGGAACAGTTTTGAAATGGTGAGGCTCTCCTCTAACCGTTTTCACCATTGTTGTAAGGTGCAGTTCTAGAGTGAAACGGGGAACCTGTTATTTTTGTTTCGAGATGATTAAGCAAGACCATAAGGAGGCTTTGGCTGTGGTTAGATAATAAAAAAACTTCATGAGTACATGTTCGGCGCAAAATACTATATTTTAACCGATTGGACAAAGTTTATTTACCCAACTAATAACTCGAAAAACTGTCCTACATGCCTAAATAAGCTAACGTATTATTAACCTACTTGTGATCTTTGGTTTGTATCCTGTGAGTCGTGACAATGTATTGTTTGTGACGGAGCAAATTAAGTAGCCATCCACTAGATTACCTGACTTTCTTAACTATCATGGAACCCAGCAAACTGTATCCACAATTCCACCTCGCGGGATTCAAACCCAGGGCCAGTCAGTCTCGCGTGCGAACGCTTAACCTCTGATCCACTCAGGTGGCATACGACTGTGCTAATGGCTAATATCGACCAATCAACGAAGTTGCGTCGCCGTCCACCTTTGTCATCTGAGTTCCTATCTCACAACAGACCCAGTTGGACTCCACTGGTCAAGTCTTCTCACTAGAACTCCGGGGAATGCTTCTTGAAGTCGGTATCCAGTGAGCATATGATGATTATAATTGAAGGCGGGTTTTATGGGTATTATAGCAATCTAATAGTTGAATTTGTGAGTCAGTCGAAGCTAGACCACCATGAAAAACCTGGAAGCACTAGATGTGGCTCCATCAGTCCTCATTTAGTCATACAGACACGGTTGATTCGGATCTTGCACACCCACCGAAATCATGTAAGAAGGCAATGTTGTAAGGACAAAAGTTTGAAGTTAACAAGCTACTCATAATTTGCTATAGTGACTACTCCATGACACTCCGGTCCATCTGTAATACTAATGTCATTGTTGGACTGGCCAGCGTAGTTGTTCTTGTATTAGCTCAGATCTTGGATTGTCTTCATATTCTAGCATTACCTATTCACCAACTATCTGATTCAGCTTCGAAAGTCACTGGTTTCCCCCCCCCCTTTTCTAAATTTGACTCATCTACTCATTAGTGACTTCAGCTACAAGTCTAGTGTAACTAAAGATATTGACTCTGATATTTGACTGACTGGCTTCAAATTTGTCTACTATGTCATTTATTATGTAACGGCTGGATTCCATAACATGGTTAACTTCAATAGTATCCGGGTCTCCAAACGGGTTCAAAGACAAGCTTTTTTTGTGAATGGATTGTATAATTGAAAAAAGTGAACTATCCGAGAGCTAATTTATAAAACGTATTGTCCAAATCCTGCCAAACACACCAGGTTGGTGAGAATTGTCAGTGGACTTATACACAGAGTATGTTTTTGAGGTAGCTAAAATTATTGTCAGAAGATTAGTTGGTTGAAGAAATAGAACTATTCTTAATAAAAGAGAGTGGCTACCAGTCCTACACATCGACACAAGGATTAAGGCGAATTCCAGACCATATTGATGGCTTTTAAAATAAATTGTGATCTATGCAATATTACTGTTTTGTGTAGCATACAAGAACATCCTACCGTCATTTAGTACGGAACATGAACTAATTTTGAGATCCTACGTGAATATTAGGGCTGGAATTCTTTTTACGATCATGGAAAATTGGCTAAATACTAGTTCAACGACGAAAGATGGAATTATAGAGGCAAGATTTTTGGGATAGTTTGGAATGGATAGATCATGATGTGACCTGATACTTCAGTGAGTTTGTTTTGACAGACTACAACACAGCCTCTAATAATGGACTTGAATTCAACTTTAGATCGCCGACGTGATTTATTCATTATGATTGTAGGGAACCTACTGCAGTTGGGTGGGAATGGTGCAACCTTCTGGTATACGTCTAAGTCACAGTCCTAGGTTAATATCTGACGTGGGTTATCCTTTCGTCGTATCGAAGTGTAACGGCTAGTTTGACGACCATACCACACAAACTACGTTATTAAAAAAATGCATCAGGAGTAGGTGCAAGGAACAGAGTGCAGCCAAAACTCTTGTTAGTCAAGTTCAATTACTTACATTGAAGAGCTGAAATAGTTTATCAGGCTCATTATTTGAATTAGCAAATAATTAATTCATTTAACATCGAATATGAATTAAGCAACAAAGATTTTGTTTCAGAACCGCAGGGTCTAAAGTCATATTGATTCACATCTAATAACTGTTAACCTCAAGATGACTATCAAATTCACCTGAATTAGTGGAGCAGAACCGCTAAGTCAATCCTTATTGAACGAGACTGAAGACTTGAAACATCACCGTAACAACAAGGAACGGACCCAGATAAATTGATAAGTTAATATAAGATCATTACGAAAATATGGCGTGGTTGTTATAAATTTAGAAAATATCATTCGAAAGTTGTTTTGCAAAGCAGCATGGACAGCCAATGAAAGTTTGTGTGCTCTTAAAGATCAAAAGTTACCCATATGTCTGGCTTATATTGGCTTCAGCAAAGCTTTTAACAAAGTTCCACAATACCAGATGCTTTTTAAGGTAAGAAATATCGAGATTGACGGCAGTTTATTTGTGGGGATAACGGACTTCATGGTTAGACGTCAACAAATGTTAGGGATGAATCTAAATTTGCCTACCTTGGAAACTTCACTTAGCAGAGTGCCTTTAAGTGCAGTGTAATGGTAAATAAATCCACAAAAAAATAGTGCTGGAAGTCTTTGTCATTTGATGCTAACCTTGTCAGTTTTGGGGAACACATCTAACTGGAGGCGGTCGGTCACGCATCTGCATCTGGTCATGAGTGGGTACGCCGTTCTACATGGCTCCTGCGACCGTTAGCCAGCTTAGAACAAACTCTTCCAGATATATCTGTAGTCCTTTAAATATGTCTTAGAACCTC